CTTCTCTTCCCGACTATAATTGACGAATGCTGTTTGAATTTGTTAAATGCTACTGTCCTACTTCCCAATGAACTTCTTATCCTTTCTCCACCTTTATTTTTACTTTTAATATATATTGTTTTATTATTATTGTGTGGCACATTTTATCGGTGCCATATTGTACCAAGTTTTTTGTGTTTAGATAATAAGAATATCATACATTGTCTGGAATAGCAGTGTCAGCTTTTTACTTCCATTTCATCGACTTTGATAAGGTCTTCGACGTCGAAGTATTTTGACAACTGCTTCAACATTGCTGAGTGTCTGTCTGTCTGTTTTCGACATAGAACTTTGCACAAATGTGCGGAAGTTCAAGTCGCCACATTCCGTGTAGCACGCGAAGCACGAGAAGAAAGTACAAGAAAAGCATAATAGAAACAGTGAGCAGAGGTGTGAGACAAAGGAGTAATAAAGAAATACAAAACAGTTTCATTGAAGATCATAAGTCACAGGGAGTAGATGCATCTGCGCTAGCCACTGAGAACGATTTTGAGCCATGTCACCAATTGTTTCCAACCATAGATTTTTACCGTCCCGAGGACCCCAGCCTGGAAGTCTACACCTTCCTACGTGGCTAAGACCAACTGTTGTGGATTTCATTGACTGATGCCAAGTTTTTGTTTGACCGTCGCTAGCTTTTTTCCAGCCTGACCCTATATCCGCTAACATAGCTCGTCGAGGGAGGCGATGGCTTGGCATACGTAACACATAAATAAAATAAAAAAATAAAAATATCCTAACCATCTCAGTCTTTGTAACTTCACAGCCTCGTCGATTGATTTCCCCTGTTTACCTAGAACTCTACGCCTAACCTCCATGTTGCTCACCTTATTATGTCACTTTACACGGGAAATAGAACGCAGGCACCTATGATCAAAGACAGCTAGTCTTTTCATGTATAACATTAAGAGCTCCTATATGAAATTGGTGGCGCGGCTTTAAGAGGCTGTCGGTGGTGGTTTTTTGGCTTCCATCGTTTTTAGTGGACGCAGAGTGGAGAGGAAGTGGAGAGCTATCAAGTCGAGGAGTTGCATCAGTGGAAGGAAGGCAAGATGATAGAGACGAAGATGAAGACAAAGATGAGTGAGTAATAGAGAAGTTTCGCGTGCATTTCGGATTGTGAGGGCGATTGTTACTTCCCGGCTGCCCACACCGTGGAAGTTGGTTGCGTGACCGCAGAGCCCAGGGGACAACTGCTTGAGGCCGGTCACACGCGGCCTGCTTTTGTTCGTTCTCTTTTGTTTGGTGTGCCTCAGTAGCATATTTATCACTCCTGCCCTGTGACACGGCAGCAGGAAGCGCGGTCGTTGTTAATCCGGGCCACGGCCGATCCGGCATGAAATTTTGTGATTTTGTATTGGACATGATGTTGGATTGGGTAGCTGCTTTTTGTTTAACCGCTATCCAAACAACCTGCCTGGCATGGTAGTACCTCAAGAGACATAAGTCTCAGCCAGTATAGCTTGAGTAGATCATTACGGTGTTCAAGCCCGACCACCACGTCAAGGTAGCAGCTTTCGGTCGGGATTGCTGAGTGTAGGACTACAAATATCTATAAACATTCAACATCTATATGATGATGCCACATACATCAACTAATGCACAGTGGATAGCTCACTGAAGCGTTTGGAGTGAAGACAAGAGTAAGACAAACCTGCGGGTTATCACCAATGATCTACCTAATGTGGAGATCTGCAGTACTCGACACAACGAACCAGATCCGAATTTTCAACATTAGTTTCAAGTCAGTTAGTGCTTTTGTATGTTTCAGGAACTTTGGTGTATGTCTCACGAAAAGCATTCTCATCGGGCTCCAAACTTTAATGCCTTCACTCGATACTGATATATGGATGACCAGCCGAAAAGAATAAGCAACACGGAACTCTGTCAGTGGATCAGTCAAAAAGATATTACCCAACAAACATGCTGAAGAAAGTGGAAATTATTGGTTTTAGATGATTGGAGGCAATCGGCAGGAAGCCTTCGACTTAGGTCTTGTGCTAGTCGGCACTCATCTGCAGATACGCCTTCCTGATGAGTGCCAACTAGCACCAAACCTAGGATCAATGTTTCCTGGCGACTGCCTCCAATCGTCTAATACCTACAATTCACAGTGCACTGTGATGGCGAGCAACCTAGCATTGGTGGCCACATTGCAAACTTGACTGATATAGTTCAGTCTGCACCAAAGATAGGACTAGACACATTATACATTGTATCTCCTGACAACCACTGTCGTCACTGGTTGTTAATTTACGCCTCGGTTGATTATTTTTATTGACTTGGAATTCGAACTTTCTTGTCTTGTGATTTACTTTTTATTAACTGGTATATTTGGTCTATAATAATGTGTTCAAAGACATGATATATATTCCTTCATATCAATGCATATGGATTATTATGGAAACCAGTTTGATTGGGATAATCTGGAAATTTTAAAAGGAGGAAACACCAAAAATGCTGGGGAATTCCTAGGAGCGTGGTATTCAAGTAAATTAGTAATTAACAAACACATTATTATAGACCAAATTTACCAGCTAATAAAAAGTAAATCAAGTAAAGAAATTTCGAATTCCTAGTGAATAAAAAAAGGATCAATTGAGACGTAAATTAACATCCAGTCACGACATTATTTGTCGGGTGATACAATTACACCATTCATAGAGAATTGAAATAAGTACATTTTATACTAAAAGCTGCTCTGAAGACGTCTGGAAGGACGACGAAAGCTTCGCTATTAAATCAACCAGCTCAGAGAACACCACTAAGTCGAAACCATAGATGGTTACTACATATTCGGTATTCACACTAGATAGTGAATGGATTCATAGTAGGGGAATAAATTTTTATAGTATTATTGAATTTTGTTCGATGAACATTTTTCTCAAAAATTACAAACCTTAGATATATGTACTTGGATTTCACAAAACATTTCTTAGAATTCATGTATCAGTATCATGTTTCACTCGCATTGAATTGCTTACGCCAGTGAACATAAAAAACAGTCAGGTGAAGGGATTATCTGTGTAAGGATAACATTTCTCTGCTTTTAGATGTAAACGACTTAATTGGTGTAAATCGTTTATTTGTATTTTCGTCGTCTGCTGCGTTTGTAACGATTGTGTGACGATCAGGAGATATAATAATTTGGTTGCACTGAATAGATACATTGATTGACCCTATTTTATCACTCTAATCTGACCTATCGATGAAAGTTTTCAAGTTTTCGCACTTAATAAATTAGCAAATATGGCATTGGTGGTCCCCCTTTGAACGCGATAACCATGATGTTAATTCTGAGAAGAGTTATCTGTTACTGTTATTTGTTTTATGTTTGTTGAAAAGGCATTTTTTGTAAACCCCAACCAATAGCTGGCTTATGATAGATTCTCTTCCTCCTTTCGTAGGTTTGGTCTATTTACCATTTTTGATGGTCCATTAGGATATTATATCCCTATTGAAGATATCTCAGTGCTATATTATCTTATATCCCTCACCGAAAATATCTTAGATGCGTCTGTCGGTTTCATGTTTTCTATTGCTTTCTGTGTTATATCTCCTTGTACCGTAGCGTGATGCAGATTGATAGGCAGTGGCCAAAACGTAAATCAAAGTCAATGGCTGCAGAGGTGTTGATTCCTCAAATCTGAGATTGGTTTACATTGTGGATATGAAATAACCTCAGTGGACAACTTGTTTAACCTCGAGCCAATTATCAGCCAATCAAAACTATTTATTCACCGTCTAACCTAACTTCAATATGGCTAAGAATATATAAATGTGTTTTCTCTAGTGAAGGTCCCTTACCAAGTCTCTTATCTTCCTCTCTTACATTTGCCGTCGCCGCCTTCAAACAATGAAGAGTCCTTAATTTGCTACTTTCGAAGAAGTAGGTGTATGGAGCTTCTTACGAGTTTTCGATGCTGTCGCTAGGTTGGTGGGTGTGGTGTGGCGAAGGATGGGGTCCTGGGATATATGTAGAAACGCTGTATTAAATAAAAAGTTTTCTGTTATTCCAGGAGTTTTGCTTTTGTATGCATATCGCTACCGTTATTTAAGCAGGCTCATCAAATACATTTCCCACTAATTTAAGTAACATAGGGGATTTTATAAGTTATTTAGAATAATCTCAGCGTGATTAAGGAAAATCTTGTTTCCGGATCTCATTGTGAGCTGACACTGGTTAGACGGAATCATTGGAAAACTTGGGAGTACTAGACAGCTGTTTCGTCAGACTAGTTTAGAAATCTGCTTCAGTAGTGCACACCCACCTCCGAGGTTCGAATCCAGGACCTTTTGGTTACAAAGTGAGCTCGAAAACTATTAAGCCACTGGGATCCAATCCAATAGCCCATGAATTCCGAATTCTGCCAAGTCGTGATCAGTGGGATACAGCAGGTCGGATTTGGGGGCAAATACTCGCCAGCGACACTGGCTAGTGGTCGTGCTATGTCATGAATTGGCAGAAGTTGGAATTCATGGGCTGGCTGACCATTGGATCGGGTCCTAGTGGCGTAATTGTCTATGAACTCGCTCGTCTTGTAACCAGGAGGTCCTAGGTTCTAACCCTGGCGGTGGGTGGGACTACTGAAGAGTTCTAAACTAGTTTGACGAAACAGCTGTCTAGTACTGCCGGGTTTTCCAATGGTTCTCTAACCGATTTCAGCTCATTACATCCTGAATCCAATCAGATCCCTGCAGACCTACACTTGGAAATCTTGTTTTTATTGTTTCCTAAACACGCTGTGGATTAATTCAAGCAATTTACAATGACTCAATCTAGTTCAGCGCTCAAATTATCTTAGGATACACTGTTTATTTGTCCTAATTTCTTATTTGTTAGTTTTATCAAAATTTGTTTTGTTTTATATAAGTCGTTTTCGTTTTTAATTGTTAATAGAATAGTTTGAAGTACTGAAGTTATATATTTGAGTATTTGTATTTTCATGTACACTCTTTAGATCAATAAATAAAGAGGAATGGAGTTGGCGTGCTCTTCGTTTCCTTGCCAGGAAATGTCCACACTTTTACATAAATTGGAACCCACCCGGACGACCAGTAAAAGATTATCTGTCAGTTATTCTGACTGAAAAAATTCAGTCTGAGGTTAGTTCTTTATTGAAATTTTTTCAAGCACTGGTTTATTGGAATTTAGTGGATTTCAAGTTAGGTTTATTCATGAGTCAACACAAGCTGGAATATATTTGGAAAATGGGGAGTACTAGATAATTGTTTTGTTCTAGTTTGGGACTGTTCAACAGTACACACAGATGATCACATTGGCAACTGAACCCAGACACACGGTAGCTTGCTTTAATAATCTTTTGGGAAATGTCAGCCTCAATCAAGAAAATCTATTGATAATACCTGTATCTAGTCCTTTTATTTGTACATCTGGAAGCACAGGATTTTATAAGGCGTCGCGGGCACCTTGCTGAAAAGCAACCTATCATGGTTTATATAGTACTAGGAATAGCTGATAACTGAGTGGTGGGGAAAGCATCTGTTTACCAAAACCTTAAAGAGTAGGTTTGGATTCGAACTCACAGCTCATCCATTAAAAGACAAGTGTCTAATCAGTGCAGCATAGACTCAAATATGGAGCCCTTTATACAGTGAACACAATACAGCGCGTTGGTACCTTTCTTGACACTTTGTTTTATGACCATACATTCATCGACCACATAAGAATAAAGTACACTGAGAAAATGTCAGCAATAAGTTTCAGACACAAATCCGTTTAGTTTACTTATATCACTTCTCAGTGTTATCAGTTCACAATCACCTATATATAAGATCAATTGAAGATACACCTCCGACAGTTCTGCCGATGTTTTGGTTAAGTGGAAACTGACTTTGTTCCCTCCCAATATCGCTCCAATCGAGCTATAAGACCTCAACTATGACTCATATACACCTCCCATTTTACACAGTAATTGTAATCCGACCAATAGTGCCTACTGCAAATTAACATTGAATACACTTAGCTATTGTTGAAACATTCCAAGTAGTGGGTGAAGTAACAATTACAATGCAGAGAGAAACCTAGGTCAGAACAAAATTTCAACAAGTTCCTCGTCAATACAGCTTGCGTCCTGAAACACAAAAGCAACTAATGATACGAATGATATCGCTACCTGGGTCTGTGTTACATTTTCACTTGAACGACAAAGTCTCAACATAGAACTTTGAGCAGCAGTTTAAGTCGTCACACTCCTTTCTGGCATAAAAATGAAAACAAAAGAGATTCAGAAGAACTATAATAAGCAGGAATGTACGGGGAGAAGAAAAGTGACTTGGAAAAACACGACGGTTCGGTCAATATGAGCGACCACAAAGACTGAATGCATCTGCGCTATTGAGAAAGATTTTGAGCCACATCACCAATAGTCCCTAGCCATTAGTTCTTCGAATCCCGAGGACCCCAAACAGGCAGCCTACGCCTGTCATCCCCAACTGTCAAAGACTTCATGGACTGATCCCACGTTTTCGTCTATCACCCCTAATTGTTTTCCAGCCCAATCCTATGTCAGCTAGCTAAAATTGCCCATCAAGAAAGACAGTAGTTCAGGAGGCGCAACACGTGTCCTAGTCATCTCGATCGATATGACTTTACAACACCATCGGTTGGCTTCCCTTTCTTATCTAGCACTCTGCACCTAACCTGACTATTGCTCACCATATTATACGATTTAATACGGAAGACAGAACGTAAAGACTTGTGGTCAAACAGAGCCGGCTTATTGATATCTTCCACTTTCGATGGCCATGTTTCACAGACACAAAGAAGGACAGAGCAAACAGCTGCGAAGTGCACACGTCCTTTGATGGATAGCTGAATATCACGTCTACGGCAAAGATGATGTAAGTCGGCAATAAGCACACGAGCCTTTTGTATGTCTTGAAATTTCGTTATCAGTTTAATAATTAGGGCTGATGCAACTTCTCAAAGTAGTTGAAGTAGTCAATATAATTTACCGCTTCCTGTCTTTAAGTTAGATTTCGGCGTAATCCAGTTCTACAGCATCATCTTACATTCCACAGAGGCAAATCGCATTCCCCACAATCTAACATCACTACTTAGTGTGCTCAGAAGACTCTGTGTTTTTTCAGGATGACAACTCTCCATATATGGTAAAATCAAGTGAAAGTATTACAACCGTGTACCATGTATCCAACAGTGAAATGTAGATCACTAGGTAGTCGACCGTATTTTCTTTTCTTGTAGCAAAACCATCGCAGTTAGATGATGTGCTGTTGTACTATAATCAAGATACCTGTAGGAAGAGTGTCTTGATTCTGCTATAAACACATACATCTTTCATTCCATTTTTTTATTTTTATAGGAAGATAAAAGCTGTACTCCTGTAACTTCAAATTGTGATCATCATCATGGGACTGATGGTACCTCACTGGATAGCATACCTAACAAGCAACCGCGATTGGATAATTCATCTGATTCAACAGCATTGGATTCTCTAGTTAAGTCTTCTGCCCCACCACGTACTCGATCAGCTAAAAATGAATGTCAAACACAAGGGCAAACAAGTAAAACTCAAACAAATAACAAACCGTCACCGGCGCCTAGCAGTCCAATGAGAACTCGATATCGTGATACAATGACTGTAGATGTTAGTTGGTTACCTTGCTTTTTTACATCTATTACCACAGTTCATGACATTTGTTTGACGCCTTGCCTACGTAGTATGATGCTTTCATTGATAGCTTTAATTTATAAGACAACTGATTGTTATGCCTAAGAGCATTTGGTCATCTACGTTTATTTGACTGAATGATGAAAGGAGAAGTCGAGACTGTTGTTTAGAAGTCTGTTTGTCAATTGTTTGCTTTTTAATTCAACAGTATTCACGGCAATCATCCTAATTATCATTTAGAAAAAACCCTTCAGATTTACAATTCAGCCTTGCAGATGGTCATTTGTGATATGAATTACTTGACCGTAATTTCACTGACTTGTGACTCTGAGTTTTTGATTAGTAAATCTTAACTAGGCGAGAAACCTGGATTAAGCAGACCGTCATGCCAGTTGATTACTTTTCAAAATTATCGTATAGAATAAAGTTATAGTTTGTGTCATTGTTGCCCTTTTGTTGAGTTGTGAGTCACTGACTTAAACTTTTAAGTTTTAACCAATAAATCCTGGGTTAGAATCCCGCTCCACATATTTCAGGCTGGGTAACTGGATGGTATCATCGGTCTTCATAGAATAAATATGGCCCCATAGACTGATGGACAAAAAGACGTGATCCGAATAACTGTGTCCTAATTATTTATCTCATATCACAACTAATAACTTAATAATGTGTATATTCTGAGAATAAGTTTTATAGCTACCATACTTAACTGTAGTAAATGTAGTCTTATCGTAATTGTTATAAATTATTAAGTAGTTATCCATAAACGTATAGACAATCAAGTATTGTTATTGTTTACTCTCTATCTAGGTTGCTCGCTAGCTGCCTGCTTAATGTATAACAAACTGTGGTACGACTATTAAAAAAAAATTTAGATATTTTCCTTAGCTTTTGTGTGTATTTTTGTATAAAAGTTTGTTAATGTAAGGTGATGGACTGTGTAACACTCAGTGTGTATTTAATCCTAACATTTGTTGCTTAGACTACTATTAATTTATGATGTAACTGTAAATAATCGGTTGTGGGTTTAAAAAATTCCTTTTTCCTTAAATTTTGAGTTTTTTCTCTATCTGCAAAACTGTATATCCTATATTGCCGTGTTGTTGAAAATTAGGTTACCATTTCAGCGCTTTCATTTTGACTGATTCCATAATTAGTCCTTATTTGTGTTAGAATAACTTTCATTATGCGTCTTTATTTTTTTTATGATATACATACAGTTCTATGTAAGTTGTCGTTAGTTGTTCTCCAGGCTTTGTTATTTATTCATGGACATTTAATCACCTGACTTGGTGACGTTTTCAGTTATATTTTCATTGAGTCTACGACTAATGATGTCATGGAGCTATGTGTGATGAAATATTCAAAGTCAGATATCAGATCTCGAAGAGCACGATTTCCAACTAAATCTTGAGCTACAAATTTTTTGTATTGTTATTAAAGTTGACTCATAGTAAATAATTTTATTTTCATGTCATTTATAAGAATTACTACCTTGTGTGTGTGTGTGTGTGTAAGAGGAGATAGCTGAAGAGCTTCGATTTCTTGTATTCCTGATCCCCTTTCGTTTCGTAAATTTGGCTGAATATTAAAATAGTCTTCTTTTTGTTCGAGCAGTAATTGCCAAAAGTAAAAATAAGTTGTCAGTTATGTATCAACCATACAGAGGTCGATATCTTGTCTGTTCTCTATACAAATGTCATTGAAGAATTCAGAGATTAGAAAAACACATTTAACCGAACAATATTGTATTCAATCAGATATCATTAGGTTTAACACTGATATACATAACTGTACAAATAAAAATTCAAATATAAAGCAGTCATGGTGTTTCATCTATAGGATGATAAGATTGTGCATAGAAATTTTGCAATTAGTTATAATAATTCAGAGTTTATTGAAGTCTACAATCCTTTCAACTTGCCAACAAACTTTAATTCGTTGGCTGAATGGTAACCTGCTCGATTTCTAAACTAATAGGATAGTTTTCATCGCTAATGTTGATGTGGATGTGCACTACTAAATAAAACCGTAAACTGAGATGAAGTGACTATACAACGCTCTTATATTTCTTTAACTTTTGTCGAAACTCGTCTTCATACAAGTAGTTGTAGCCAAAAGTTCTAAGCTATTCTGTGTACGCAATTTTGGTATCATATTGAAAGTCTACAGTGATTTGGCTCCTCACTATTTAAGCTTCGGTTTTTGAATTCATCTTATTTTCAAATATTCTGTAAAAGTACTAATGAATACCTTTTTGGCACATAGATTTTATGTAAATCTCTCGTTTAATTTTTTCCCCTGGAAATTTCAGAATGAAATCGAGTCGAATTCAGGGAGTGAAAATGGTACTGGTGATGTGTTGCAAGAAGCCGAGAATGATATTGAATCAGAGCCAGTAACTGCTTAGATGTATAAAAGTGCTATTCTTATTGTTATTAACTATTATTTATTAATTTTATGATTGGTAGGATGTCTTCGTATGTGAATGTGTATATCTTTGTGAAGTAAATTTCTTGTTTTATCTATTTTTCATATTCTTTTGGAATGTTCTTCACCTGCTTAATTGTATTTTATATAACAAATATACATGATAAAACAATTAAATATGTGATTAACTTTCATTAATATAAATAAATATGTATACTCCTTGATCCATAATAGGTTATTTATTTTGTGTCCTTTCGATCTTAAAGTTCATTATTTTTATTAACGATATTGTTTGCTGATTAAAACTATTTTTTTCATTATTATTATTGTATCCTTTAATTCCTAGAGGAACATAGGGTCTCAGCTGTGCGTCTCCATTGTCTTCTGCCAACTTTTTCATCCCGCTCTAAATCTGCCCACATGCTCTCATCTCCTCTTCACACGACCTCCTCCAAGTAACCCTTGCACTGATGACCAACTTGCCGCTCCCCTTTCGGGTTCCACTCGAGCGATGGCTTGTCTAGTGATGTCACTTGATGGTTTCCTCAGAGTATGGCCAATCCATCTCCATTTCTTCCTGCCTATTTGTTTCACAATCGGTTCCTGCTGTGTTGGTTCGCTCATTGCCAGAGATCCCTGTTGCTGATCTTTTCTGGCCATCTGATCTTCAGCGGAGTATTGAGCGAAGACAACTGTTAATGAAGGTCTGAAGTTAGTTTGAGATGCTCTGTATGACGCTCTGGCCAAGTCTATGATCCGTATAGTGAGTAGCATTGACTTCACATTGGAGTTGAAGATCCGGATCTTATTTTTGATGATGAGTGATGTTGACCTCCACACAGACTTAAGAGCTTGTCTTTCTTTTCCGATTTTGGCTTTGATATCCTCGTCAGTTCCGATGGCCTGTAGTTGAAACGATGCTTCCTAGGTAAGTAGGTAGGTAAAGGAGGTTGTTTCTTTCAGGTCCCTCCCATTTATGCTGGCTGATTGTTGTCTGTTGTTGCTGTAAGAAGAAATTTAAGGTATTTGCAATTTTACCACATAAGGAGGAAACATCTGAAACTCTAAGTAGGATTCTTAATAAAATAGCAGTTAATGTGACATTTAAACCTACAAACCAATTTAGGGACAAGTTCTGGGGGCTTTATTAATCTGATCACTCTAAGTAATTTTACTCTACGAGATACCTTGCATTGACATTGATTGTGAGCAATAAATTGTCCTCTAAACGTCATCAATGAATAATACTGTTATTGTATTTTTCTATGAAATAAAATTATCCTGTGGTGCAATTGTACATTATGAACATTAAGTTTGTCGAAGAAAAATACAATTGTTTATGTTTATTTTAACTAAACAAATGGAAATTAGTAAGTTTCGGGTAGAGTTACGTAATACAAAAACGGTCAATAAAATTGGGTGTTAATGAAACTAGTGTAAGTAACAAACGTGATGAGTTATCACAGTTCTTAAAAAAGAGTTACTTAATAATATGAATGGTTTGATGATTGAGTTGTACTCAGGATACATATAGGGACAAAGTAAAGAATACGAAATTACGTAAGAGTCCTAAATGAATACAAGAATTATAAGCAATTAAAGAAACAGGCAAACAAACAAAATGAAGTCATCAAAAATCAACAAAGTTGTTACCGTGATAATAGAAGTGGTTGAGTAATTCTTTTTCGTATGCATACCTCCGGCTTTTCTATGTGAATGGTCAGAGCATCAGTGGTACAAGGAGGACGAAACCGTATTGCCTTTGGTAGGTTATTCTTGACTCTATAGATTACTTTGAAGGAGGCGTTTGTTAAGGTGGCATGATCAGTGTTAGCCAGGTTATCAATTATCGCACTCCTTATAGCACCAATATTGTCTTTTAGGAAACATGTTGGTTGGTGTTCTTGAATCCTCTTGGACAGGATTTGCGTCGAACGACCGATGTACCTGGCTGCACATCAGCAGGCGAACTGATATTTGCACAAAGAAGTGGTCAGATGCGGGATCTTGTCCTTAAGGCTTCTGCAGATCAGTGAGAGATTGGAGAACAGTATTCTTAGCTTCGCTGCATAAACTGCTCTTCTCAGAGATGATGTGGTCCTTTTGAGAACATCGCTTGTTAAATCTCCCTTGAAATCCAAGTTCATGCAGAGTTTCGTTTTCGTCGCAAGTGGAGTTTCATTTCTCCAAATTCTTGTTTTGATATTTGTATCAATGAATCTTGGTGAGTATCCATTTTGGATGAAGATTTCTCGCAAAAGATCTAATTCTGTTTCTGGAACATCGGGACGACAGATCCGTCTGATGGAGGTTGGGGGAAGGGATTTAATTAAATCCCCTTTTTGTCGAATGGGTACCCAGCTATAGAACCTTGTTACTCCATTATGGATAAGATTTTATTTTGATAAATCACACAGTGTTATACAGCAATATTAACTGATGACGTTTCGAGCACAAACTATTGCTCATAATCATATCAAGTCACTCATTTATATACATGTGTGGAATTGACTAAATATTTAAATACAAATCAATATAGGATAAGTACATTCAGAAATAATAATACGAGTGTTATTGATCAAATACAATCAGATGGGAACTAAGACGAGTGTTTTTATAGTCATAATAAGCTACTTGTTAGAATGTTGTGATTTGCTCAAACTGAAATAGAATTTTGAGATTATATATTATCCTCCCCAGATTTGACTGTGACAATAATACGAGTGTTATTGATCGTATTTCCCATCTGATTGTCAGCGACCAATAAAACTCGTATTATTGCCACAGTGCAATCGGAGGAGGATAATAAATACTCTCAAAATTCTATTTCAATTCAAACACATCACAACATTCTAACAAGTAGCTTATTATGACTATAAAAACAATCGTCTTAGTTCCCATCTAACTGTAATTGATCATTAACACTCGTATTATTATTATTTCTGAGTGTACATTATCCTATATAGATTTGTATTTAAATATTTAGTCAATTCCACACATGTATATAAATGAGTGACTTGATATGATTATGAGCAATAGTTTGTGCTCGAAACGTCATCAGTTAATATTGCTGTATAACACTGTGTGATTTATCAAAATAAAATCTTATCCATAATGGAGTTATACTCCGCCACAATGCCCAAGTTTTATACTAAAACCCTATTCATATGGGGTAAATTTTCCCACTATGAGTTTCGTTTCGGCTGAAAATGCTTATTTTTTCCACGTTGAATAATGACTGAATGTATTTTTTTATTTAATTTTTTTTATTACAGCTTGATTCCACACTGTATTTTTGGTACAACTATGGAATTTTCATCATGGATAGCGGTAGCCCGAATTTCGCAGGCCGACCATAGATATCAGGTGTGCCATCGGCAGGGGATCGAACCTCGGACCATGTGCATGGTCGGCGAGAGTCCTAACCACTGTGCCACTGACTCACAGTATTTCTTGTTAGCAGTTGACAGAATCTTTTACAGACCGCGTGGTATTTACATGATGTACTTGGTGAGAATTCTGTGAATGAAAAGTTTATCCAGTTTTGTGAGGGATTAATTCAAACGTTGGGAAAATAATTTAAAATGTTAGTTTACAGCCACTTGCTTGATCACATTTGATCGAGAACCACCGATAACCAGGCAGTACTAGATGGTGTTTTTCGTCCTCATTCGGGACTCTCCATCAGTCTGCGTCCATGACCCTTTTAGGGATCTAACCCAGGATTTCCAGGTTACAAACCGGATTCGTTGACCACCAGTCACTGGTACGGAATCCAGTGAAAGAGGAATTCTGAATTCCGCTAATTTTCAATATCTGGTGAAACCGCCACCTAATATCATCGGTGAGTGTCGATGCCTCACGTCTAACCTGGTGGACGCCGCTGATCGCGACTTCCCACGAGCGTAAAAACAATTCACAGCATGTTTCTTAGGTTTCAGTAGTGAATTTTGTTGTTACCGGCAAACTCTTGAACAATAAAATGTAATTAGCTGGTGTTTTACCATGAGGAGTAATATATAAGCATTTTCAGCTCAAATATGGGTTGCTGCATTAATTTTGTTGCTTAGTAAATCTTGGTTTACATCTGTGTGCTATTGGGTGTTCAATCAAGGCGTCGTCTGAACAACACTTTCACGGATGACTAAACCTGGAATATTCTCCATAAGTAATTATAGATGTAGTTATTACCCAACTGGTTGGTGACGTATTTTTTCTCATTCAGAAAAAACAACAGATTGAGCGAAGAAATATGCACTCCTTTTCAATTAGTTCCTCATTATCGGCTGGCTGGCTCTACACTAATATGTAGTTTTTTACATAAAGATTTTTTATCATTCAAGTGGTTATTTTAGTTAATCAGTCTTAGGTATAGGCGGGGGTGAAATGAAGAGGTTAAAGGTCATCAAATCAATCAACTGATAGGTATCTTGTTACTAACTTATATCCCTTAGTTAATTGTTTTGATGACCTTTAACCTCTTGATTTCAACCCCGCTTATACCTAAAACTGATTAACTAAAATAACCACTTGATCAGTAAAATAAATTTTGATGTAAAACAACTGATTATTAGTGTAGAAGAGGAGGATCTGGACTTCGCCGATGATATACGTCTGATTTCCCACAAACTAGAAGATATACAAGTGAAAAGCAAAAAGTTGCCAGAACAAGCATCAAAGATAGAACTTCACGTGAACATAGACAAAACAGAGGTGATGAAGATTCCTGGCCAACACCAACAACAGAAAACAATCAGTCAACGTAAATGGGAGGACCTGAAAGAAACAACCTCCTTTACCTACCTACTTACCTAGGAAGCATCGTTTCAACTACAGGCCATCGGAACTGACGAGGATATCAAAGCCAAAATCGGAAAAGAAAGACAAGCTCTTAAGTCTGTGTGGAGGTCAACATCACTCATCATCAAAAATAAGATCCGGATCTTCAACTCCAATGTGAAGTCAATGCTACTCACTATACGAATCATAGACTTGGCCAGAGCGTCATACAGAGCATCTCAAACTAACTTCAGACCTTCATTAACAGTTGTCTTCGCTCAATACTCCGCTGAAGATCAGATGGCCAGAAAAGATCAGCAACAGGGATCTCTGGCAATGAGCGAACCAACACAGCAGGAACCGATTGTGAAACAAATAGGCAGGAAGAAATGGAGATGGATTGGCCATACTCTGAGGAAACCATCAAGTGACATCACTAGACAAGCCATCGCTCGAGTGGA